TAAGACCCACCCAAATTTTCACCCTCTTTTGCGGGGGGGGGGGCTGGGGGGGGGGTCTTATACTCTGAAAACTATGGTAGTTCTTTGAAAACAATTATTTCAATTAGAAATAAAACTGGGCATGTGTGAGAATGTCTTCCAGCATATAAAACCAGAATACACTATTTTGTGTCTTATCAAAATGAGAGTGCTGCGCTCACACTTAAATAATTTCCCCAAATTAATTAGATGGCCAAATAATTTTTGCTTTGCCAAAGAGAAAATACACTGTTTAGGAGAAAAGGGTCAGCCTTAACGGGATCCAGATGTTCCTCAAAATACTTGCATCTCCATTTCTATGGGTAGTCCTCATCTTATGACCAAAACTGAGCCCAAAATTTATGTTGCCAAAGTGAAAAATTTGTTAAATGAGTTTTGGCCCATTTTTTTTTTTACTTTTCTTGCCAGCGTTGTTAAGTGAATCGTTGCGGTTGCTAAGTTAGTAACTCGGTTGTTAAGTGAATCTGGTTTCCCCGTTGACTTTGCTTGTCAGAAATGTCCCAAAAGAGGATCACGTGAACCCGGGACACTGCGACCGTCATAAATAGGAGTCACTTGCCAACCACAAACAGATTAATATGATGACTTTCACTGGTGCCAATGTAGTGTATAATATGTATATGCCATGCTATAAGGTCATACACCAGAGCAATATACATATTGCACAGAATATGATGTGCATATGGAAATGTATGACTAGTTTTTTTCCTAACTACTTGTATTATTCTTTATATCATTCATGTCTTGTATTCTGTACTGTGTTTCCCCGAAAATAAGACAGGGTCTTATTTTCTTTTGATCCCCGAAATAAGCACTTGGCCTTATTTTCAGGGAGGTCTTATTATTGTTGAGATGTAGGAGGCGGTGAGCGTGGTCACCTCATCGCTGCTGCTGTGTTGCAATATTTTCGGGGGAGGGCTTATTTTAGCGCATGCACTCAAAAGCCCGATTGGGCTTATTATCCAGGCAGGTCTTATTTTCAGGAAACAGGGCAGGGGTGGCTTGCCGCCGGCATTACTGCCGGTTCAGTCTGCGCGCATGCACATTTGCACATAAATGGGTCTGTGCATGCGCAGAATGTTAAAAAAGGGGGGAAAATAAATTTCTGCAAAAAATGTTTTGGTTTTGCATGCGCAGAACCAAAAAACAACATGGTGCCAATATGGTAGGAGAACCAGTTCAGGGGAGTGGTAGGCCTTGCTCGCTGCCGGTTCCAGCGACCAAGGTCGCCAAACCAATACCAGTTCAGATGAACCGGTAGGAACCCACCACTGAAACAAGGTATGAACTGCACTAGTAGAGGCTAACCAGTTTCGTTGTATACATGATGTACAATGACAATAAAGTCTTTGAACTTTGAATTTTGATCACATGACCATGGGGATGTTGCAAGTCATAAGTATGAAAAACGTTCATAAGTCACTGTTTTCTGTGCCATTGTAACTTTCAACGGTCATTAAATGAACTTGCAAGTTGGGGACTCGCATATAGGTCTTTAGGGTAGGAGAATGGAAGCCAACAATGGACAGAGCAGAAGTCAACCCAAACAATATTTTCTGCAACTGGTGTCTATTTTCCTTTTCTCTAGGAACGACTACTAAAACCTTTGGGCGCCTTACTTGGGATGACAGCTGAAATGAGGGAGCTTGCAACAGTGGTCAGCAAGGTGAGTTTTCCTTCTCAAACCCAAGGATGGTTGTTGAACTCCAGCCTCATTCAATGAGGGACTAATCCTACTGTTCACCTTGATATTGAAAGTCAAGCAGAAGACGCAGGAGGAACATTAATAGATTAATGTTCATTACATTGATACATTACATCAATAGAGGGGTCAGCAACCTGCGGCTCTGAAGCAGGATGTGGCTCTTTCATTCTTCTGCTGCGGCTCCCTGTCGCCGGTCGGCTCCACAATTGATAGGGCTTTCAGTTAGGACAGGTAGAGGAAAAAGAACACCATACTAGGAGACTCTATGATAGAGGAACCGGACTTCTGGTTGGCAGAGGAAAAAGGACATCTCGCTAGGAGGAGACTCTATGGTGGGGGAACCAGACTTCCAGTCAGCTTTAGAACTGAATGGGGAGCTTCCGATTAGGGCCTTTGTGGCTCTTTGAATGTTTAAGGTTGCCAACCCCTGCATTAATACATTAATACATTAACATTAAACATTAACCTATCTTGCCTGAACCCCACATGTTAGTTATGTTAGTTCAGGGATCCTTAACTCCCTGTCCGTGATTCTATTCTATTCTATTCCATTCCATTCTATTCCATTCTATTCTTTATTCCAATATTCTATTCTATTCTTTATTCCATTCTATTCTTTATTCCACTATTCTATTCTACTCCATTCCATTCTTTATTCCATTCTATTCTTTATTCCAATATTCTATTCCATTCCATTCCATTCTTTATTCCATTCTATTTTTTATTCCAATATTCTATTCTATTCTGTTCTATTCTATTCCATTCCATTCTTTATTCCATTCTATTCTTCATTCCAATATTCTATTCTATTCCATTCCATTCTATTCTTTATTCCAATATTCTATTCTTTATTCCAATATTCTATTCTATTCTATTCTTTATTCCAATATTCTATTCTTTATTCCAATATTCTATTCTATTATTTATTCCATTCTATTCTTTATTCCAATATGCTATTCTTTATTCCAATATTCTATTCTATTCTATTATTTATTCCATTCTATTCTTTATTCCAATATTCTATTCTATTCTATTCTTTATTCCAATATTCTATTCTATTCTATTCTTTATTCCATTCTGTTCTGTCTTAAAGTTGCTGAGGTTGGACACACCCCTGAATTAAAGGAAGGATGAACCAGCCAGAACTTCCAGCTCATTGCTGAGCGACAGCTCTTGCAGTCCCAACCAAGCCCGACTAATGGAGAGAGATGCCGAAAGTCACCGTTCAGCCACAGCCGACTCTTCCCTTCTGCTCCCCCATAATGGCATCCGCATAATCACCTGTTCTTTGTCGTGTTGCTTCCCCCCCCCCTTTGATTTCACGGCACGGTCGAGCTTATTTTGCTCCGTGTTTACTATGCTTGCACAGGAAGATGGGGAGGCCTGTTTTTAAGAAGATCAAACCTTGTCTTGCAGGATATCTATCTCGACAGCCCCAACGTGAAGTGGAATTGCATCATCGGGCTTGACGCAGCCAAGCGGTTGGTCAAGGAAGCTGTCGTGTATCCCATCAGGGTAAGGAGTGGCTGAGCCACCTTTTCAAAAGTCACACAAATGGCCTCTGTTCCCATGGCCAAGATACACAGGTGGTCCTCGACTTACAGCAATTCATTTAGGGGCCATTTGAAGTTACAACCACACTGGAAAAAAAAGGACTGAGGACCGTTTTCTCACACTTAACGTTGTAGCTTTCCCATGGTCGTGTGAGTTACATACGAATGCTTGACAGCTGACACTCACGTTTATGACAATTGAAGTGATCCCCTTTTGTGACCTTCTGACCAAGCAAAGTCAGTGGGGAAGCCAGATTCACTTTACAACTGGGTTACAAACGTAACAGCTGCACCGATTCACTTAACAAAGTTGGCAAGAAAAGTCGTAAAATGGAGCAAAACCTGCTTAAGAAATTTCTCAACAACATAAAATCCAACAGCATAAATTCTGGGCTCAATTGTGATTGTCTGCCACAATTGGACCCCAAATTTGGGTCCACCTGTGGTCGTACCTCAAGGGCCACCTGTCCTTTACATGCAACCACAGTTGAGCCCAAAAATTTACATTGCTAAAAAGGCAGTTGTTAAGTGAGTCATGCCTGATTTTACAACCTTTCTCGCCATGATTGTTACGCAAATTGCTGCAGTTGTTAAGTGAATCACATGGTTGTTAAGCAAATCTGGCTTCCCCCCATTGACCTTGCTCACCGGAATCCATCTGGGAAGGTTGCAAGTGATGATCACACGACCCTGGAACACCATCATAGTCATAAAAACATGCCAGTTTGCCAAACCCTTGAATTTTGATCGTGTGACTACACAGATAATGCAATGGTTTTAAGTGCGAGGAGCATTCGTAAGTCACTTTTTTCAGTGCCGTTGTAACTTTGAACAATAGTTGTAAGTTGGGCATTATCTGTAATCTTTTTTTCATTCTTTCCAAACTACCACTGCTGATTTTGTAAATGCTACTTAAATTGGGGAACAGGAAGCAATTTGGAAGGAAGGAAAATTAACTTGGGGACTGGTTTGAGGGTCATTTTGTCTCGTGGTGAAGGCATCAGGCTAGAAAGTAGGAGACAGTGAGTTCTAGTCCTAAAGATGGGCTAAAAATCAAATAAATAAATAAAATATAACAATGAGCTTGATGTCCCCAAAGAGAGGGGGACATTAAATGAATAAAAGTGAAAAATACAGAATCAGCAACCCTGATTTTCTACATTTTCCCTATAGCCATGTTCTGATTAAAAATAAATGCTGATTGAGTTGCTAGAACAGGGGTGTCAAACTCAAATTTCATTGAGGGCTGCATCAGGATTGTGTTTTACCGGGGGGGGGGGGGGGGCTTGGCCAGCTTGGCCACTCGTGTCAGGGGTGCCTGTGGTGGTCTGTGCGCTCTGCCAGCGAAAACTGGATCCCAGCTCCGTTTTCGGCTGCGACAACCTCCTGCAACCCTCTGCCAGTGAAAATGGAGCTCTGCGCTCTGTTTTCAACTAGGATGTCATCCTGCAACCCTCTGCTGGTGAAAATGGAGCACTGAGCTCCATTTTGGATTGGGACGACCTCCTTCAACTCTCTGCCAGTGAAAACTGGATCCGAGCTCCATTTTCGACTGCAACAGCCTCCTGCAACCCTCTGCCAGTGAAAATGGAGCTCTGCGCTCTGTTTTCAACTAGGATGTCATCCTGCAACCCTCTGCTGGTGAAAATGGAGCACTGAGCTCCATTTTGGATTGGGACGACCTCCTTCAACTCTCTGCCAGTGAAAACTGGATCCGAGCTCCATTTTCGACTGCAACAGCCTCCTGCAACCCTCTGCCAGTGAAAATGGAGCTCTGCGCTCTGTTTTCAACTAGGATGTCATCCTGCAACCCTCTGCCTGTGCAAATGGAGCACTGAGCTCCATTTTTGGTTGGGACGGCCTCCATTTTCACTGGCAGAGGGTTGCAGGAGGCTGTTGCAGTCGAAAATGGAGCTCGGATCCAGTTTTCACTGGCAGAGAGTTGAAGGAGGTCGTCCCAATCCAAAATGGAGCTCAGTGCTCCATTTTCACAGGCAGAGGGTTGCAGGATGACATCCCAGTTGAAAAAAGAGCGCGGGGGTCCATTTTTACTTGGAAGGGGGGGGGGGGGGG